GGGGGGGGGGGGGGGGGGGGGGGCAGACAGGGAGAGAGAGAGACTGTGTGGGAGGGCCTTCAGGTGGCAGAGCTCTGCCGTGATGGCCGGCCCATGGAGGAGGCGCTGTAGGTGCGGGAGCGCTGGCGGATGGCCAGCCGGCAGGGCAGCTCCAGCTCCTGGAACAGGGGCGTCCCCGTGATGTCCACGGCCTCGGGCCGCTCGCTGGGACTCAGAGAGAGCATGCTGCGCACCATGTTCAGCTACAGGGACAGAGACAGACGGAAGGGGTCCTTTCAGATGTGTCCGAGTAGAAACAGCGATTCAAACTATTCCAACCTAATTCTGACAACAATTGGACATTTAGAATGGAACGACGAGAGAATATCAAGTGTTTAAAAGTCAGAAAATGCATATTTCCCATCTACTTTGTCCCATCTACTTTGAGATTTCACCCAAAAACAACATCAACTTATATCGTTCATGAAAATGTTGCTTATCCGTGTTATTTTTGTTACCCAGTTACCCAGAGAGTACATAATGAGGCACACAACAACACACAACCTGTATCGGAGAATCACAGATTGCACTGCAGGATTATTTTAATCTCGTTACTAAGTAAATAGGATTGTGGAGCCCGGCTCACACTATAATATAGGTTAGATCCGATCGATGCCCGTTGCAGTGCAAAAAACATCGCAAGTTAATTTTCTGATAATAGACTTTACGGATATACACAAGTTGCAAACCGATATCTCAAATTAGACTGCTGCTATTTCCATTAAAGAGTGTAACATCATGGCATTTTGCCACTTGTGTTCACTTCATCTTCTAGTGTTTAGGAGGCTAAATCGTCCGAGAAGACCTTTTAATTCGATCAGATGATTCAACTTTTGGGTCTTCTGCCGACTAAAGTGTGCCTTTCTTTTAACAACTCATCGGTTGTTGGACAACACGCTTTCATGTGTTTCCGCCCAGATGGCGTTAGCCTTTGAGGCCACTAGGTGGCAGCAGATAACCACTTACCTCCTGCACGTTGTTGATGGAGAACACCTCTGGGAAGCGCAGTGCGCGCACATCTGTGAGCGTCTGGAAGAGAAGGATGTAAACACCTGTGAGTGGAGCTGCCCTAATGGCTTATCAGGTCCTTTGTTACTAAGACAAAAGGCTCTGCTGCCTCATCTGTACAGAGAGCAGCCGCTTCACTGGGCCTGCATATGGGCACTCAGAAGAAAAACACAGCCTCAAAATAGAATAAGAAGGTGAATTTAAAAAAAAAGAAAAGCCTTTACAGATAATCTGTTGTTTAAGTAAGCTGATCCAGCTGTACATCAAAGTATTTGGATATAAGTCCATGTGTTTGGTGACTCACCCTCACTCTCTCCATCTGGGTCCTGAAAGGGTACAGCAGCTCGAACAGAATTAAGCCCAGAGAGTAGATGTCCACTTTATGAGAGTAAGAATTGCCAGAGAGCTGCGAAAGCAGAAAAGGAAACACGGGGGGGGGGCGGGGGAGGGGTCAATGGCAGCTGTTTTTTGTTTTGCATTTAAAAACATAACACAAGTAGCTGGTCCTCACCTGCTCCGGGCTCATGTAAAGCTTGGTGCCCACCTGGCCCGTGTGGCGGGTGAGGAGCGGGGCGGGTGTCAGGGCGCTGGGCTCGTCCTCGTCTTCCTCCTGGTCCATGGCCGTCACCAGACCGAAGTCTCCCACTTTCACCACGTCGTCCATGGTGAAGAAGATGTTGGAGGGCTGGTTGTACGTCACATGGAACGGGCGTGTTATTAGCAGGTCGGCGCAGCCGTCTTTGATTCATTTCTACATGCCCGGGCAATACGTGCTCTCTACTGCGCCGTATTCATTCTCCCGTTTACCTTGAGGTCCCTGTGCATGAGCCCTTTGCTGTGCAGGAAGTCCACGGCCTCCGCGATCTGCAGGAAGATGTCCAGACACTGGTTGTGCTCCCTCTGCTCCGGCAGGCAGCGCTGGGCCATCCAGTCCTTCAGATTCTCCTTCCGACAGAGCTGCATCTGGATGTACAGGTACACCTGGGAGGCAGGGGGAGGGGAGGGTTTCACATTTCATACTGGAGACGCGAGGCTATATGTTTTTGTGTAGACAGAAATGACTGATGATCTGAAAACACGTTTCTTCCAAGAATCGCGTCGGTTACATTTGAATGCAAATCCCATATAGAGTTAATTCCCCCCTAATAAAGTTTTGCGAAAAAATAACTAATGCTACAGATATATACTATAAAGATTAAAGGAACTGATATGTTATGGATGCTCCAGCTAAACGAATAGATCTGCCGGTAACCTTTGGGGAAGGTTGGATCCGCTGGCTTGGTGGACTGGTGGGCAGAGCCAGGGTGAGCGAGGTGGGCCGGGGGGGAGAAGACGAGGAGTTGGCGACGGACTCCTGTCGTCTGGTGCGCGAGGAGGACGAGCTGTTCCTCTCGGTCGGCGTGTCCAGGCCGACCGAGTTGGAGTTGGAGTCCGAGTCCGTGTTGGCCTCGGCGTCGCGGTCGCAGCCGGAGTCCTCGAACACGATGTCGAAGGACGAGGAGGTGCAGTCGCTGGGGCCGCGCGGGGGGCAGAGCTCGAAGGAGTGCGGGTTGTCCGAGGCGTCCGGGTCGGCCTGGCTGTCCCTCTCGGACATCAGGCTGTCGTGGCCGAGCAGCGGCTGGAAGGACAGGTCTCCTTCGTTGACGCTGAAGTCCACGATGCTGTTGGAGTGGAGCGCCTGCGCGTCAACAGAGGCCTCCAGAGTGTCTCCGTGGGGTCCAGAGGCAGGAGAGACAGAGCTGGACACTGGCACTTTGACGGACAGCGCCTCCATGTGGTCCAGGAAACTCATCGGCCAGTCGGTGGTACTGAGAGAGATTACCCACAATGTTAAATCTCCTTCCCGTTTACTTTCTTCTGTTATACACATTTCAGATGTGACCTGCTGGGCTTTGCACATAAAAACTGGGTTTAAAAACACCCTGCTAACCTGGCGTCTTTCAGCCACCTCTGGTCCATTTCCTCCTGCCAGCCCTCGGGGGGGGTCTCCTGCCAGGCGTTGAAGTAGCGGATAATCCCTGGGTGCTCCAGCTTTGCCAGGGCCTTCACCTCTCGCATCACCTTCTCTCGGGCCAGCTCCCTGAAAGGCGGAACGTCAGAGGTTTAGCCGCCCCTTAAAACTATAGTTAAATCAGTCTCAAATCGAGCCTCGCTCTAGGTGCGCATTCTACAAAGCCACACACTGACTCATACAAAAATAGCTTTACGCACAGTGAGGCTTTCATAAGCACCTTGATAAAAGCACAAGATAAACAGTGCTGAAATGTAAGAAAAAAAAGAGGAAAAAAAGTAAAAACTGCATCAGCAGAGCTCTGAATTCCCAAGCTTGCCAGTACAAATAAAGACACAAAGCTAATATTTGTTCCAGTGCGCGAGCCATGACTCCTCTGCGTTTAACAAGTAGGCCAGAGCTTATATAACTCAGGTTAACAGCTTTTAAAGGAAATGGAGATGAAGGGCGAGCTGATGGCCTTTTGGGGGGGACTGGGTGCTGTGGCCAGAGAGAGGCGATACCTGTTGGGCAGGCGGATTCTTTTGATGGCGTAGTTGCAGTCGTCCACTTTGTTGCGGGCTTCGAAAACCACGCCGAACCCCCCTCGGCCGAGGCACTGCACTGGCTCAAAGTCTGTCAGGTACCTGCGGGGAAGCACACTCGTTATGATTATGGCTGCTCCTTTCCTGCAAGTAAAAAAAGCACAAAAAAAAAAAAAAAAACATGCCTGGTTTTTAACGTGCAAAGACTCAGACTTCACCGTGCCTCAGGGAGCTTATTAAATGGTAAAAGGTGATTACTACGCCGACAGTCACAGCCAGCCAACTCTGTGCCGAGGCTCTCGGTGGATGCTCATTTGGCGGGTTAACAGTGTGAGGCTGAACAGTATTGACAGTCCACGCTGACGCCACGCGCAAGGCACGTCGCACAGCACGAGCCCGGCTTATCGGAAAAAAAGTTCAGATCCGTTCCAGGGAGCCCCACCCCACTCCGCCCCGTCAAAGCATCCGCCGCTCCGCTTCCGGCTGTTGGGGGTCGTCTCTTTTTAGGGAGTGTGAGCGCGATCCGGCCCCTGATCGCCATCTCCCTCCTCAGCTGCTGCGACAGCTGCAGGTTTTATTTCTGGAGAGTTCCTCGGATGGATGCGGCAGAAGCGTTCAAAAGAAAGCGGCTGGCGGGGTGTTAATCATTCGAATCCAGATATGTTACAAGTAAAAAAAAAAAAAAGGAAAAAAAAGAGACTGTGTTAAATCACACTGCTGCTTAGGTAGAGCTGAGCAGTGATTTATTATTCGCCCCCATCGATCAGAGTGGCAGCAACTCTGCGCAGATCATAAATTATGGCTGCTGATCGTGTTCTAGAAGTAAAAAAAAAAAGAAAGAAGGGAGGTGGTCCTGACGGTGAGGTAAGGTGACACCCTGACCCCCCCTGGCAGATGCTGCTGGGTGGGGCCGTCTCTTAGAAGACTGGGCCCGGGCCGCTTTCATTTGATGGCAAACAGCTGAGTCGCCCAATCCCGCATTACAATGACTCCCGACTGGGCCTCGTCCTATCGAGGCGGCCGGTAGATCGCTGGTCACCATGGCAACAACAGCGCTCAATCTGTAGCTACACCTGGAGCGGGCGAGACTCGGCTCTGCCTGAGGCTGCCCCACGAAAGTTCCTTAGGCCGCGTGACCAGTGCCGAGAGGCACTTTTCGCAACGCTTTACGGCGTGCCGGGCTGCTCACCTGGACACGTATTCGCTGGAGCGGATCTCCATGGCAACGGGCTCTTTGGATTCCACGACTTCAAGGTCGAACTTGCTGTCGGTCTGGCACTGCGTCTCCGACTCTTTGCGTTGCTTTGATGGACAGAAGCGGGAGGGGGGGGGCGTCGAAAGCGCATTAGAGAGTTTTCTGAAACAATAAATCCCTCTGGAAGTATCTCACTTTCCAAATAATGAGGTCTTACCCTGGCGTAGGCGGTGGGGGCGGGGGGGTGGAAGAACTTGCGGACGATGTAGGTCGTGGCGGCGATGCAGAAGATGATGGTCCCGAGGATCTCCTTCCACCAGGGCAGCAGCAGCACGGGGTCCTTCCTCCTGCGGCTGTCGGCGCCGGCCTCGTTTCCCTTTATCAGGCTGACGGCGCTCTCGCGCTTCTCCCGGTAGCGCTTGCTGTAGGGGAAGTAGTATCCGTTGTCTGCGGCGTGAGGAAGCAAAAATAAAATAAAAGGAATCAATAAATGGTCAGCGGAGGTTAACTTCACGTGCTCTGCTTTGATTCTGACTGCAGACTCTCACCATATGGATACTGGAGGATGGACAAGGCCCCGTTGCTGTACTCATCGTGGGAGTACTTGTCGTTGCTCAGACACTTGTCGAATTCGTCAGAGCCCACTAGAGCCGGAGTCCGAGACGGGGAATCTGCGAGGACCAAAAAGTGGTTCCGAATTCCATCACTGACAGTTGCACATCATCGAGAAAAAAGGACCAGTCGGGGTTTGCTACAATCAGGGGCGTGTACAGGATTTCTCTCTTGGAGGGGCCCGGTTTAGGCCACAGGCTATTGAGGGGGTGCACAGTAAAATGTATACATTTCTAAATGCTTTCTTCTTCTGGCTCTCGGCGAGTGCAGAGCTGCGTCTATGTGCTGTCTCCTTTGCCTGCTGTTTTTGTCCTGTTGCATCTGGGAGCCTTTCTCTGCATTTACCCCTTAAATCCTAAAAACTTAAACCATGGATTTAGTCGGCTGGTCTCTAAACTCCATTGGCGAGATCTTTCTACCCAAAGAAAAGCTCCAGCTGGGACTCACCCTGCTGGTTAAACAATGGATTGCTGGTATAAATGGAGGGTTTGATGCCTTTCTGTTCTTTCTGTGTAGGACGTTAAAGACCTAGAGTCCAGATGGAGTCAGATACGAGGACCAATAGGAGAAGTTGGCATCAATTTTGGGGGATTTAGTTTGAGGGGGAACAACATTGATTTGAGGAGGCCAGGCCCCCTCTTTTCCCTGCCTAGATCTGGCCATGGAAACGACTGGGATGAAACATGGGATGAATACGCGTGTCGTGACTTACGAATGAGTGGCTTCCATTTGATGGTGGGTAGCGGGATGACATCTTTCTCCGATCCGATGGCTTGGGTGGGGAATTTTTCACTGATCCTCACTGAGGACTGGAGGTACAGCTGACCCTGGAACATCCCTGCCAAAGCCGGTAAAAGACTTATCAGTGTGCTGCGTTCACATCGCGGCTGATGCTTGGAAATGCCGCGTGTTCAAAAGTTTTACCAAGATAGACGCTGGACTCTGCGGAGCGCTGCTCCTTCTCGGGGTCCGTCTCCTCCTCCTCTTCGGTTTCTGACTGGCTGCTGTAGCCGGTGTCGTCAAACAGGCTGATCGGAGTGACCTTCCCACCGCCCACCAGCCAGGCCGAGGCAATGGGAGTGCAGAACTGGGCCACGCGTGACAAGAAAAAAAAAAAAGAAGAAGACTGTAAACGCTGATCCTGACCCACCGAAACTTGGCTGCTAAGTAGCCGCGCGGGGCCTCACCTGATGCTCCCAGACTAGCCGTCCATTGGCCTCGGTGCTGAAGGCCATTACCTTCCAGTCGGGGACAGACACTTTGATGGCCAGGTCCAGGTGGGGGTTTTGGGGTTTTCTGTCCTTCGGTTCGTCGGCGATGACCCTCTCGTTTTCCTTCCAGGCGTCACCGCTCACCACTTGGCCCTCCAGGAAGTTCACTCCGGACTGGATCTCCGGCAAAAGCTTCAGCTCGAAGTTGCCAACACTGAAGTTCCACCTTGAATAGCGGCAAGTGAAAAAAAAAAAAAAACACAGCAAAAGATTAATACAAACCACTCGCTTTCCATCCGTCGCCTCCCCAAACTATGACATGCAGCACCGCTACCAGACAATCAACTGTCAGGAGTAAGATAAACCTCCACTGGCTGAACAGATAACTGACTTCTCTATTGAATGCAGCTGACAGGAAGTCAGTAGAGCGTCGGTGTTCATCTCAGGCGCACAAGCCATAGTGACACTGACAAGTTAAAAGTCCTTACTTCTCCATTCCTGACCGAGGCCTGATGGCCCGCACCGTCTTCTGGGTCCTCTGCAGCAGCAGCACGTCTTCGGCTTCCGTTTCCTCGTCCCCCCAGCGGCTGCAGCCCCCCGCCGAGCAGATGTACCGGATCTGAGGCCAGCAAATTTGCGCTCAGGTCAGGTTGACACGGGACGAGGGGGCCTGAACGGACCCAAGCCGTCGCGTCGGGGCTCGGAAATGATTTCACTGACCTTGCCGCTGTAGGCCCCCAGGCCGTAGGTGGTGAGGGACTTGCCCCCGACCAGCACGGTGTCCTCTCCGATGCGGTACGACGACTCCAGCAGGGACTCCACGCTGAAAGGCACTGCCTCCATAGTCTCCCTGTCCCGGTTCCACTGGAACAAGGCACCGTCCAGCGAGGGAATGACCATCTTATTGCCAAACACCTGCAAGGCCCAGAGAAGACAAACGAATGAATCGTTGAAGGAACCCTATTTTGTTTGTCGTTTGTCTTTCAGACCCTTTTGAGGTGATGGATCTAAAGGTAAAGAGACAAATTAGGGAAAAGCTAGAGGTATATCAAAAAGATGGATGAGAAAGATATTTATTTAGTCATTTATTCACTGTGCGGGTTTTTCTTTCCTACTTTTTCCTCTAAGCTCTCATAAGCAGTTGTTTCAACACGACAGCGCTTTCCGCAAACAGACAACTGCGGCCGGCACTCAGCCACCCACACAGCGGCCGCCTCGGCCCCCGCACACTGTGGACTGGATCCACAGACCATTACGCAACGGTGAGCTTCGGTAATTAACTTAAGATTTCTGTCGAACCAGACACTCCTAGATGAGGCGAGCGGTTGAGGATGACCTCACCGCAAACACCCGACCCTAATCCTGAAATCCTGATTTAACCTCCACAGCTTTGGTTTGTGGAGGGGGGGGGGTCTTCTGTGTGGGATGATCATCATCATCCCACACAGAAGATACTCTGAAACTTAGAAATCATTTCCTCTGGAGGTCAAACTTGACTAGCTCTTCAGTTATGAAACACAGGTTGTTGGGTCTCATGAGAATGCTCTTCTCAGAGGTGTCTGGTTAAAAACTGAAACTTGGTCAGGAAATCCTACAGAAGCAGCTTTGAGGTGGATTAAAAAAAAAGAGGAGGTTGAGTGGACTGAAGAACGGAACCGGGAGCAACAGTGATGTCATCCTCTTGAGAAAAGAAGGGGCGGGGCTTGGAGGGTGACTTTCGAGAGTGAAAGGAGGAGGAGGGGTCACCCGTCTGACCGCATGGGTCACACCATGCGGGCATGGGTTTAGGACAGGTTTACAACAGAAGGGGAAATTCTCAGAGCAGCGGATGAGTCATGCTGCCTATGGCGCTTTAATCTGCCTCTCTGATTGGGCTCAGAGCGCTCACACCAGTTCGTCCAGACTCCTGACGTGAGAGAGAATGTCCAACTTGCAGTTGGATCACTCACAGTTTCGGGCTGTGGAGCCGTTTGCACTGTGAGCATATTTGCACTTTTTGTTTGTTTGGGGTATCTCCCCTCCTAATCGAACCATGGCAAGAGCTTTAAACTATCCACTCGCTCCGACAGCTCTGAAATCTGGAGACAGCCTATTTACAGAATGGATGTTAAGTGCTTAAAACAGCTGGGGAAACCTGAAGCCCGCCTACCGCCGCTGTTCAGGGGAAAAAACAAAATAAAAACGCTCAAAATTGTAGCAGCGTCCCAAAAGTACATTTAAAATTCATTTGAACTGATCTGCAGGGCGTCATCGCCGATGTGTACCCCGTCTGATGAATGTGCCCAGTCAGAAAAAAAAAAAAGAGCAAAAACATCTGACGAAAAATGGTTTGACAAATAAGAAGAAAAAAAAGGGGTGGAGGAGAATATATGGTGTGGCAGCTCTGAGCAGCTCGTCTGCATTCCTTTGATGTTGATGAATAGTATCCGAACAACCGCAAGCTGTTTGTTTACATGCCTTTGTCTCGTCGATTTGGACACATTTGCCCCATTCTCCATCGGGGCTTTTTGCCATATTTTATTCTTTTGTGGCATCCTCAACAAAATGAATGTCAAAAACAAGTTTGCTTTTTTTTTTTTTTCAAAATGAAATCAAATATTCATAAGGACTTTCAAATAGAATGTTCCAAATGATTAAAAGCGTAATTGACTTGTCAGCATAAAACGCCTGCTTTTCTCTATGCCTTCCTATTTCGCTTTGAGTTTTATGAGCCTATTAATCTTTAAAGAGCTCGTCCACAGACTCATTCAAGTCTCTTCGCTTTTCCTTTTTTTTTCTGAATGTGTGGGATGCGTGCGTTTGTTCCTTCTGAGACCAGAGTCATTCATTTATTGCTGATAACCATCTGGTGGCTGCAGCAACATTCCCTGAGCTGGGTTTTAGTCTAAAGTAATACGATTTGTTTCAGCAAATCTAGTCTTTATTGCCGCGGCGTGTGGGAGTTTTTTTTTTTTACATTACATTAGTATTGTTTTTATCCGTGTCTGTTTGACAAGGCCAAACTGTTGTGGAATGGGAGCGAAGGAGCTGCGGGAAGAAAATCGACTTTCTGACAGAAATACTGCTTAACTGGCCGTTTCCGTTTCCCTTACTTGGCTGGAACAGCCACGGCCCGTCCCATTACGAGCCGAGAGGTAAGCCAGCGTTTATCAATGCCTGACAATCCATCAAATTCTCCCTTGGCTCTTTCAGCCACACACCGGCGTGCCAGCAGAGGCACGCCGGTGTGTGCTTCCTGGAGTGAGCATCTCTTCATTGTTTATTATGTGATGACATCATCTCTGGTCTGAAGCATTACCTCACCTCCCTAAACACCCCCCCTACCCCTCACCCACACCTTCATCCCTATAGCTCCGCCCACACAACATGAGTCACCCGCTCTGGTGCTGACACCTCCCCTCACACACACACATACCCTTCAACCCCCTATAACACATCTCCTTTTTTTTTTGTTTTGACCTGATGGCTCTTTTTTTCTGCAGACAGTGCTGTTTGTGACTCTTGTAACCCATTTATCTAAAGGGGAAAAAAAAAAAAAAAGACAAGATGAAGACACACTCCGGAGGATGCAGCAGGTGACTGGCTGCTTCCGCTCCGGGATGCTGAGGCCAGCCAATAGCGCGACAGCAGACCCCCCTTTGACTCTGATCACTGAGCAGACTGGTGTCTCAGGGACCCAGCGAGCGCCAATAAAACCGTTGCTATGCGCTCAGTAGGAGGAGGGAAGAGCCAGCGGCTGATCTTCACCACACACACACACACACACACACAGACACATGCGCGCTAACAGAGCATTTCTGAGGCCTGAAAGGGCGAGGTGGGATTTAAAATTGATATCAAATACATGAGACATAAACAACACGTGCAAGACACACGCACCCACACACTCCCTCTCTTTGCAGAAGAGTAGCATGTAACGTCATGACGAGTCAACGGGTTCAGAGCCACCAGGGCATCTGGGTTCCTTTCACCCTGTCAGCCAAATGAGAGCCAACAGGTGAGAGCGCCCAAACAAGCGCATGCAGTCAGCATTGCAGCAGGAACCTCCATGTGTGAGCATCTACACGCCTCCCATAAAGTGTTGGCGGGGGGCCAAGTTACCGGCTTTTTAATCCTCTCTCTTAAGCCGAACGCCTTCGGCGCTGCGAGTTAGCGCAGCTTTCTCTGAATCCACTGAATAATCTGCCGTGATCAAACAAAATCTAGTCAAGATTTGAATGTGTGGGCAAATAGAAACTGAACCCACAACATAAATGCATGGAGCATCTGTAACCAATGCAGATCCAGTCAAATCAAGCCCCATCTTTCTTTTTTGTTTGTGTTCCGATTCATTCTGAGATGAAATGAACTAACATGAGTGTTGCCACATGGAAACATGCTCCGTGTGGCAGTGGGGAAACATTTAATCCTCTTGCCTTAGGGAATGCACCTGCTTTGATAAACAAACAAACAAAAAAGAAGCATCTACATGCTTATGTATGTATGTATTGCCTGTATGTATGTATGTATTGCCTGTATGTATGTATGTATGTATGTATGTATGTATGTATGTATGTATGT